AACAGAAGAAGCAATGCAGCCATTTCCGGATGCTCCTCTTTCAATCCTGGAAAACAAGGAGTTGTTTGTCATATAGATAGCACAAAGATAGCTTTAACCTTATTTGTAGGTTGTTGCTTATTAAATATTAGTCTCTAGAGTGAGATTTTTCAACTTAAAGACCTGGTAAAACCCTTTATGATGATGTATTTTGAAGAGTGAGGAAACTTTGAAAAACTGCAACTGCTTTGGGGTGGATATTTGTGGGTGGGCTGTTTTGAAAGACTTTTTTCGTTAGCTGGTGAATGTAGAAGGAAGCCAGGTAGCTTACGTTACTGCAAGGAAGCCACAGCCGTATAACTGTGGCACGTCTTAAAATCATCACTACAACGGAGGGAACTGATTACTTAGACGACACAAATACTAGTCAGATGAAGAGGACAACAAGTGATCTATAGGAGATCTATAGGCCTTACCTCAGTTTAGCTTCTTTTCTCTGACTGAAAAGTTGAAAATTTGTCTCTGGTGTCCATTTTGTGCTGAATAAAGAATGATCGTTTTCTTTATGATTTTGTCGGAAGGCCAAGATAAGGGTTACACTTATGCTACCTTGTTTGTATCGGGAGAGCCAGGCACAACCTAACACATAATGGTTTTTGTTGAATAATGAAAAAAATTAGGTTGAAATAAACATATTTCTATACAAGCAACATGTACTTTTCTACTACAAAAGAACACTTGAACTTTTTTTTCTAGCACATGGGTGGGTTGACTGTAACAGACAGAGGTTTAGTTGTAACACTTGCTAGAAAGGTCCGATGAATTTGTGCTAACAAAAAGTTAATTCAATGTATTTCTATGCTGTAAGAAACTAATATATGTTCTAACCATACTGCATTATATTATCTACCTTTAAGAAGACAGACAGCTCAATTGATAGATACACACACACACACACACACACACACACACATCAAATTATAAATGAAAATTGACATTAGACCGTGTGTCAATGACAGATTTATTGTTTGTCCAGTGAAGGACAGCAAATAAAAACATCACATATCAGTAAAATATGGAACATTGTTTCTGAATAACTACAGCTTTACCAGCTGTTAATATCAACTTCATTAATATACTTATTAAAACCAAAGTTCTAACATCTGAAAGATGTTAATAAAGTAGAAAATGTACTTCATTTGTTTTTGTTTACTAAAACTGGTTTAGTTGTAACACCATGTATCAACTAACCCTGCAGTACGGAGGCTGTACTGAAGCCTAGCTAACACTTGCTGTGAGCTTGACAGCTGCTTCAAAATGGTGCTACATTGTCAGCAACAAGATGGTGATTAAAGTACTATAAGGTTGGATTTTGTGATTTACACGAAAAGCTCAGTAACTGAAAAAAACATTTGTTGTAAAAATTACATTCACTGAAAACACTTTGGCACAGATCTTTCTAAAACACAGAGATCGTTTTGAATTTTGGTGGGAGACTGTAGCTAGGAAACGTGAGATTGTGGCTAGAAGCTCACACTGCTTGACCTACTTCAACAATATAAAAAGTCAGTGTTAAATTGTTCCCCGCATTAGGTAGTTCCCCGTGCTCCCCTGTTTATTAGCCTACAGCTCAGTGGCTCGGCCAGCGGTCAAAATTGGATGACACCACAGGGATTCCCATTGGTTGTACGATGTAAAATTATATAAAATCATGGATTCTGTCAAACCTATGAGATTAGGGGAGTTATGCTATGGAATACAGAAGACAGTAACAGATTAAACAGTAGTTTAAAGCTGTAAAAACAGACACATCACGCTCTCTTTTTCAGGCATTTTTCATTTGAAAGCAGTTTGAGAATTTCATTTTGGCCAAAACATTTTGTGCATACTTTATTGAATGTCATTTTACGATTGATTGTAACACTCGAAAATCAATGTATCTACATTTTTTACAATCTTATTGTTTATTAGGCTGTGCAGTTCAGTGTTAATGCTTTTACTCCCTATTTGTTGACAGGCTCTACGCAAAGACGTTTAGCAGATAACTGAGGTCAAGTTGCTCCGTAAACATTCACTCGGCCTCGCTGACTTCAGTGTGCTTTTTTGATGAAGTCGTTCCCCTGAGTCTCTGGGCACAGTACGGGCCGAGAGAGACTGACAGCACATCTGGAATTCCTCTATCCCCCTTTCTTTCTCTCTCTCTCTCTCTCTCTCTCTCTCTCTCTCTCTCTCTCTCGCTCTGAGCCCCTCTGTTTTTCTCCCTCCCGCTCTCTGCTATAATCCTAAACTCTTCCAAGACAGTATGTAAGGCTCCAACATGCCTAAATGCACTTATCTCCAAATCCCTCCGCTCTCGCCACAGTTTTTCATCATCACCGTCCTCCTTTTTCAGGACGAAAGCGATCCATCGTCTGATCTGTCGATGACTCTGCCAAGAATCTGTGAAATACAGTGTGTTTTTACATTGAAAAAGTAGTGCTTTGAATTTGAAAGTGAGTCAAATGTGTCAAGTGGTTGTGCATAAATAAAATGTTGCGTCAACACAATTCTTGCCAAAAGAAGTGAGCTGAAAGACAGCAATTGTATTGATGTAACATTTATAATTCACGTGCACCACTTGACACGTTTGACTCATGTTGAGTCAAAACCCCATTTGTTTCAGTGTACAGTAAAAAAGTGAATTTATTTGATTTACGTACGAATGAAACATCTTACATCCACACCATCATTGCCAAAAGTAAGTAGAATTGTGAATTGTGAGAATAGAATTGTGTTGGTGTGAAACTGTTCATGTGGAAATGATACACATTTCAATCAGGTAAATACTTCACATGTCCATGTAACACACAGCAGGTTTCTAATGTTTTCAGTGATTAAGCAGAAATTCCATGCATCTCACTGACCCAGCTATTCCAAACTCAACAATGCGTTCAGAGAGGCAGATCTGTGTTTAATTTTTTTAATCCTTTCGTTAAGAGGATTTAGGCCAAAAGTAACCACCCGTCACATCACGCACCAGCATGTGCTCACGCACACACTTTAAACAAGCCAACAACAGATAAAGAGAAGCACAGTAATCCCACAGAAGGCTTTAGTTTCATATAAAGAGACGTCTTCTTTCTTCTCGGTTGCACTTGACATATACAGTACAGAGCAGAAGTCAGAGACCAACCTTCAGTTATTTAATTAAATATTTAATAATAAAAATAATTTCCAGTCAAAATGGCTTTTTAGTATTAAAGGTGAATTTAAGCATTTTTTTAATTTGCCTATATAAGTTGTGGAGATGGAGATGTGGTTTGATGTGAAATTGTAGTTCATTGTAGAAAAACTTTCTGACTCAGATTTCTTTGCAGTGGAGGTGATAGGAACCAGGGGTCCTAATGTGTACAACACAAATATAACAGTTTTATTCACTATCTAAACAACCAGTGAACCTACATTTGGTTTTATATGTAATGTTGATAATGGTAAAATAGTGGTAAATCTGTGGTAAATAGTGTTAAAAATATTTTGTCTTACGACTCCCTGCATGCTATCAGCATTTATGCTTCAAAAAACAAAAAGTTTTAGGTCACAATTGTCTCCAAACTATTGTAGAATAATGTTTTAGGCATCAGGCAGCATGTCCATAACCATTTCAAATAACAGCTTTCAGACTCCTGAAAAGAATGGAAGCTGTAATAAAGGCAAAGTGTGGACATACTAAAAAAGAAAATCGCAAAAATTGAAATTATATTTAGTTATATTTAGGCTAATGTGTAATTTTCTGTTAAATGTATTACGGGTGAGCAGTATGACCATATTTTATTGATATGGTGGTGAATTATGTCACAATACACTTTCCTGAGCATATTGTGGATAGCATCAGTATTTAAAGATTGGATTTAGCACAGTGCAGTTTGTAAAACATTGAGTAAAAATGACTGTAGTTGTAAGTTATTATTTCTATTATTATTAGTATTATTATTATAGCATTTTTTTATGTTTGGCAGTACAGGTTCTATTTTGTCTGTTCCAACTTATTGAATCTCAGAAAAAGTGAATAACATGTACTTAATGGCTGTTAAATAAATAAAAGGGTGTTAATAAACAAAAGGGTGGCCTCTGACTTTGGCACAGTATTCTACACCTAAAAAATACTGGGTCCTTAAAAGGCTCTTCAATGGTTCTTAACTGTATTTTTACAGGTCATTACTGTAGACAAATGTGTTTGCTAAGAACTTTAGGCCTGGTTTCCCAATCTGGGTTTAAGCTGAAGTTTACACACTTCAAAAAGATGGTTCTTCAAGGGTTCTAGTGAAGAAAATGGTTCTATATAGAACCATGAACAGTCAAAGAACACTTTGCACGATTAAAGGGTTCTTCAGATTGATGGAGAATGTGACGTAGATGGTTCTATATAGTACCTTTTTAGAAAAGGGTTCTATATAGCACCCAAAAAAGGTTATGCTATTGTTACAAGCTTGACATTGTAACAATAGAAGAACCCTTTTGGCTGCTATATAGAACCCTTTTAAAAAAGGTTCTATATAGAACCATCTACAGCACATTCTTAAGAATCCTATCATGATGTAAATGGTTCTTTAAGTGTTTGTGATTCTTCGTAGAACTTTTTCTTTACTAAAGAACCCTTGAAGAACCATTTTTTAGACTACAACGGTAAATCACCATTAACTTTATAGTTTAGTTCCACATTAAGTTTAATCCCTGTCCAGGGAGCTGAACCATAGAATCAGTGCTCTGGGTATGAATTGTATGTTGATATGTATACAGTACAGGAACCTGATGTATGCAAAAGCACATGTTTTGACCGTGAAAGGAAAAAGTGGACATGTGTGCCAGTAATCAGGGCTTTAAATCTCCTCACTGGACAGAGCGAGGGTTTTAAAGTGATATCTTCCTCTACACACAGACGCAGAGTGACCGACTGCCCGGTCTGCTCTGCTTGGGCGGGGGATATTTAAGAGGCCATTGTGTTAGCAGGCAGGCATGAAGGGGGGGGAGGAGAGAGGGGAAGTGGACGAGAGATGAGAAGCACACATCTGTTCAGAGAGAGGGAGAAAGAAGGAGTGAAGGACAGAGTGGGCGAGCAAAAGCGTAAAGAGACAGAAGTCCCGGAGGCGAGGCAGAGGTAAGGGCTCGCTTCTCTTCTGCTTTTCGCAAATGATGGGTTCTGTTATTGTCCTGCTGTTTAACAACCGCATCAAACTTTAACCTGAGGGCCTCGCTGGGCACACGCTTCAGTTCCTCACTCATAGTATTGACTGTGACATTTTCATGCAGCAAAAAACAATTATTGCTTATTTGCTGAATTTAACTGGTTGGAAAAACAATAAACATAAAATGTGGCCTGTGCAAAACGTTATGGCACATTTTATGTTTCAGTTTTTTTCCTGATATGTTAAAGCAAATAAATAAATATATAAATGGAAATTGTACACTAAATCTGCAGAAAGTGGCATATTTGCTCCATGTAGAGGAACTTATTTTCGCTTAAAAAATAAAACTTTGCATGGTTAAATCATTATTCTCTGTTATAGAAAACTCTATAACTCTATATGCTCTATATGATAAAGAACCTTTTAAAAATGGTCCTATAAAGTAGTAAAAAGGGTTCAAATTGTCTTTTTTTTGTAATATATAGATCCCTTTTTTTAAGAATGTACCTCTCCAAAACATCACTCTTCAAAAAAGGTTCCAAAATGTTTCTTTGCTTGGACATATAGCCTTTACATTTTGTGACGGTTCTTTGAACTTTAAAACCACTCTTCACACTTTAAAGAAGACTTTGTTTCAAAGAATACTTTTCGGTCAGTGCATAAATGGTTCTTTGTATGATGATTAACCTTTTGTGTGTGGTTCTTTAGAAAAACCTTGATTCTATATAGTACTAAAAGAATCATACAGCCTTTTTGGTATTATATAGAACCTTTTTTTAGACCAAATACAAAAACAACTTTAGAACTGCAGTGGAACTTAATGGTACCTCCTGCATTCATCAGCACAGGAACTGAAGTTTGTTCAGCTCTTTTTTGGATCCTTCTTTTAAAACAAATGCAACTCTTATCGAGTGGTTGCCGGCTTCTCTCTCCCCTTTCTTAACATTAGTCTGAGAGCATGTTCTGAAATCTTGTTTAGTGCTTCTCTCTATGGATGATTATTTCCATGAACTTTTCACTTGCATGTTACTGAACCAGCTGTACTTAAAAGGATGTTTAAGGTCTTTGCTCTGCTTCTGTAGCTTTTTCCATCAGAGAGTTGTTGATACTGTTGTTTCTGAGATCTTTACGAAGGTCCTTCACCTTCACCATGACTTCTATTCATGGCATGAAATGTTCCCAACCAAAGGCAACATCTTTTAAAATGACAGCAGGTTCAATATACATGAGAACTTTTTTTGCAAGGTTAATGTTTAGGTATCTTTAAGTATCTTTGTTTATGCTTATGAAAACATTTTTGTTCATGTTCATAAATACAAAGTCAAAAGATATTATGTGCGTTAATTTGAACTGTTTATATGCATCTCCTCCAAAAAAGGTGAGGCAGTAGGTGAAATGCTTATAAATACATAAAGCACTAATAAGTAAATTCTGTATTGAACAGAAAATAGTACTGAAAATAGTACTTAAAAGTAGTGTTCTTTTTATTAATATATGCTCATTTCAAATGTAATGCCTGTAAACACATTCCAAAAAACTTGGGACAGGAGCATGTTTACCACTGTGTCACTTCACCTTTTAACAGCGCTTAATAATCATTTGGGGACTGAAAAAACCAGTTAATCTAATTTTGAAACAGATTTTTTGTTACATCATACAGGTACAGCTGTAGTGTAGTGTTACTGTACAGGGTCCTTGTCGGTGTATTTTGTGCTTCATAATGCACCACAAGTTTTCACCAGGAGACAGTTTTAGATTGCAGGCAGGCCAGTCCAGCCCTGCACTCTCTCTGTCATGTTGAAATAAGCATGGATGTCCCTGAAAAAGACTCAAGTGTGGAAGGCAGCATCTTGCCCCAAAATGTTTATGTATTGTTCAGCGTTAATGGTGCAGTCACAGATGCGTAAGTGCCCCGTGCCATGGGCACTCATACACTCCCATAGCTGACAGACGCTGGCTTTTGAACTTTATACTGGTAACAGTCTGGATGGTCTTGTTTTTTTGGGGGGGCCAGAGAACGTAATGTCCGTTATCTCCAAAAACAATTCAAAAAGTTGACTCAAATGACCACAATGCACTTTTCCACTGAGTTTCTGGGCATTGTTGACATATGACTTCTTCTTAACTTGCATTTGTGGATGCAGTGACAAGGACTGCTTATTGAGAACAGTTTGTCAAAGTATTCTCGAGCCCATGTGGTGATGTCCATCATAGAAGCTTGCCAGTTTTCAAGGGCTGTGCGAGGGATCGAAGGACATTCAGTTGCAGTTTTCAGCCTTGCATTTTTACGCACAGAGATTTCATCAGATTAAGAACATGTCATGAATCTGACGTAGACTTTTTCTTAGGGCCTTTCTCAGGAACAAATTTTTGGAATGTGTTGCAGGCCCGAACTTCAGAATAAATGTATATGTACAAAAAACAATGAAATTTATATGATAAAACATTACATATCTTGTCTTTGTGTTGTTTTCATTTAAATAGAGGTCAAAGTGGATTTACACATCACTACTTTTTGTTTTTAATTTGCATTTCACATACTATCCCAGCTTTTTTGAATTGAGGTTTGTATATTAAATATTAAAAAAACAAAAGTTTCTGAATATTCGTTTCCCCCACTATAAACTCTCTATCTTGAGCATGTGTCAGACTCTTGTTTCTCAGCCTCGCTTCTCTGTATCTCTCTCTCTCACACATATTTTACATACCCTCTACTGTGCATGTGTTCCTTTCTATCTCTCCCTTTAACAGAACCTCTCAACAAACCCGTCCTTCTCACATTTGTCCTCTTCTGCTGCCCCCTGAGATTAGACGCTTTTTTCCTTTAATTCCATTATTCCATAACTCTACTGTCATCCCCCTCCTTTCGCTTCCTTTTTCATCTCCCCTCTCTTTCATCCCCCCTCTCTCCCTTAATGAAATGACACCTACTAATTGAATTAAATTCTTACATCCTACAAGCCCCCGCCCCTGCACTACACTTTCTCTCCTAAATTAAACACCCCTGTGTTCTTCTCCCACCTTTTCATCTTCTCTCCTCCCCTTTTAAATTATGCAAATCTCCCCTTTGTTTTTAATTTTGCCCATCTGCTCCTCCGCTATTCATCTTTACAGGCTAACTTACCGGCACCATTAAAGCCGTTTATCTAAGAGCCCTTCTTACTTGATAGGTTGATTGTTGATGTGCAGGTGTGTGTGTGTACATATATAGATATAGGTATATAGATATATATAACCAAATTCATCATTTCATCATCAGCTACTTCACTGTAAAATTACAGTAAATTACTGGCTACTAGTTACATCACTTTCACAGTAATTTACTGCAACGTATTAACTTACAGTGACTTTAGTTTTACTGAATCTATGCTGACTGGTGATTTGTAGATTTTTTTCTAGGCATGAATAATTTCACATTGTTTGACAGTTTCTTCTGTAACTTTATGTACTCATGTGCAGGATTTTACAGTATCCCCATGTGCAATATCTCTTTATGATCTGTGGATTCTGTAACGGTGCTGCTGCTGATCCAGTGGAGATGGAAGCTGTAAAATCACCACCCGGCTGAGGAAGGACGGAAGGTTTCTGATACAAACTCAGGCGGTGACTCATAGTGTTGAATGGTTCCTAACAGATGCCTTGGAAGTTCTCAGTATGAAGGTGGTGCTGTGGACCGTGGTGGTACTCAGCCTGTGCAGACTGGAAGGGGTGGAGTCTGCATCCAAAGACCCTCCCACCACCCCAGTGACCTCTACAGCCCCGCCATCTGCAACAACCACAGAAGACGAGAGTGCCAGACTGGTGGTGAGCCAGACGGTTCTGTCTGTTATAGTACCAGAACCTTCAAACAGGAGATTTTGTGAAGGAGGAACATTTCAGATTGCATGCCATCTTGTATGGAAATTGGCCTACTTTTGATTGGACACTAAATTAATATATATATATATAAATATGTATATGTATATACATATATATATATATATATATATATATATATATATATATATTACACATATGTTGTTTATATATACAGGGAGATTCACTCAAAAGAAGCTCCAGCTCCAATGCAGGGGCATCCCGGCTTGTTCGAAGCTCCATATACTGAGGAGCGCATTGCACATTGTTTTGTCCAGATTGCTTCGTCCTAGCAAGAGTTATTACAGAACATTCAGGGCCTCTTTCAGGTGAATCTCCCTATATATATATATATATATATATATATATATATATATATATATATATAATGTATTTGGAATTTTTTCTTATTTTTGTATGTTTAAGTAGATACTAGAGGTGGGTAGAGTAGCCTAAACCATATTCAAGTAAAAGCATTGTTATTCCACCCACGTCAAATGTCTTAATTTAGTCAAATTTAGTTTTTTCTTCAATTTCTCCACTAACTGAGACTCATCTCATCCACAAATCCCACCAGGCATTTTTTCCTCTTAGGCTCTCAGTTGTGGATAATGTTTGAATCTCACCTGGCATCATTGGGATTCAAACTCACTTTTTGTTGAAGTGGGGCTGAATGATTGGTTACACCACTAATGAACAGCACACAATAAGATACATAAAATTGCACAGCAAATTGTTCTGTTCAATAATGTTCAATTAATTCAACATTTCAGGTCATCTACAAAACAATTTCAATCTAAATTGACCAAAATTTACTGATATTTGTTAGTCTCTATTAGGGGTGCGGGAAAAAATCGATTCTTAGATGCATCGTGATGCGGACGTGAACGATTCTGAATCGATTCACAAATGTCAAAAATCGATTTTCTAAATATTTAATTTATAATGTAATGTTGACGGAACGTAAAAGGCGGAACTTTGAAGTGGGTAAGTGCGGCGCCCGGACAGTCTGTGACGGCACACAACAAAAACACACATGGATGAGTGAGAAATCCGACCGGCTCCCTCTGCGTTAAAGCCAGGTCAGATCAGGAGTCACAACACAAATGATCAGAAGAGACATTTTGTCCTTTCAACAAAAATTAAACCACCTTGGGAGCCACAACATTTAATGTCCAGTATGTCTCAGTATGTGTTAATGTCCTAGTATAGACTAAACAATATCAACGAGAGCGCAGATTTACTTCGCTCTGCTTTAAGCTTCGCCTACAGCCGCTTTCCTCCCATCTCCGCCAGAAAACTTTTCCTCAGAAGTTGATCAGTTAAATGTCTCTCAACGTTCGACTGTTTTACGAGGCTGAAGTCGCTTCTTATTCTCCAGCTTCATGTTCGAATTTACCCGTTCCACCTTAAATTCTAACTGAGGCGCCGAATGTAAATGCGGCACCATTTAAGGTGGAACGGGAGAATTCGAAAGAGAAGCGACTTCAGCTTCGCCACTTTTTAATGTGTCACAGTCTCTCGTTGCAGATTTAACGTACCAGGAAACCAACTGCGCTGCTTATAAATGCGAATAACGCATCGCTGCTAGGTGACCTGCAGTCGGCACGGCGGTTCTCAGTCGTTGCGAAACAGGGCTTTCGCGCTATGTTTCACACGACCCGTCTCAAAGACATTTTACTGACACAGCGATCCCCCCACTCTCTACAACGAGACCAAAACCGAAGTTATAAAATCACTAAAGAAAACGGGTAGAATAGCTGTAACGCGCTGCGTGGACATCCATCACCACTGGATCTTATTTCACCGTAACTGCGCATTTTATCGCAGATGAGTGGCAGCAGCGTCTCGTGCTCCAAACAAGAGCACTGACTGAGAGCCTTCTAGTTCACTTGCCGCATCACTTCCATTTGTTTTATTAAAAAAATGTTGGAAGTAAATTCATTATGGATCATTACAAATACTTTGCTTTAAAAGTTCCAAGTCACTTTAAATAACAACACAGACTCACTTAGTCACTTTAAAATGAATACTATCTCTATATTCTGTGTATAATTTGTGTATATTTAATATATTTCAGTTGTTTTTTCTTGTATTTTTATTTTTACTTATTTACTTTCTGTAGAGTGATTAGCTGAGCCTCACCACAAGCATTTCAATGCATAAATGTCCTGACATGTTGTGCAAGTGACAAATAAACTTGAACTCGAAACTTGAGCTCACACAACGAGAAAACATAAATGCTATATAGAAAAAAAAGATGCATCGAGATGCATCGATAATCGTTTTATAATCGCATCGCAGCCCTCTGAATCGTAATCGAATCGAATCGTGAGGTGCCTAGAGATTCCCACCCCTAGTCTCTATTTGTCACTATTTGTCTAAAATAAAATAATAAAGCTTTAAAGTGAGAGGTGTGACCGTCACAAAGTAGTGGGAAACCTCATCATCCCCACCATCAATGAAGCAATTTTTTGGTTTGTCCTTGATAGGACTGGCTCACAAAGTATGGCTACCTGCCCCCACCGGATCCCTCTACTGGTCAGCTTCAGGCCTGGTCAGCTGTGACAGAAGCTGTGAAAGCTATGCAGAAGTTTGCCGGTTTGGACGAAACAGGAGTTTTAGGTAAAGAATAGAGCTCCACCTAATTCACTTTCCTGATATTTGTTTTGAATGGTTGATGAGTTAAAATGCAAATTGCCACAATCTCTGCTGAGTCTCTGATAAGGTCAGACAGGATTAATCTACTTTCTCATTTCTCTTTTCCTCTAAATAAGCAGCTCAGCTGTGTGGAAAAAGCTGGTTATTGGCTAAAATGAAGAGATGAATTCCTATATAAGCCAAGTGTCATAAATTTATATGAAGACATCCAAATGTACTCTGTTAAGGCAATCTGATCTAACGGGTTAGATATTATGTAGAAATTATAAGCATAATTCATAAAGTTCACAGTTGAAAGTATAGTAAACACATAGTACATTAGAAAGTTCATGCAGACCCCATGTTCAAATTAGAGTTTTACCCTTGAAGCTACACCTTCATAGGTGTAAATGTTAAATAAAAATCTTAGCTTTCAAATTCTGTCTTTATTTTGAGTTCAGTGGTGATTTACAGAAGCTCACCAAGTCAGAATTGTTCCCAGTGGCGTGATAGGAACCAGGCATCTGAAACATTTAATGCTCCTAAAAGCTACCTTACAGAAAGTTGTTATATGAAAAAAAGGCTATATTCGCATTGTGGACATTGTGGCCCCTCGTTCCTGTCACCACCACTGTGAAGAAATCTGAGTCCGTACGTTTCTCTACACTGAACTCTTTCACATCAAACCACTATCATTACGTTTCTTTTCTCAGTTACTGAATCATGCAGAGATTTTGAGGAATTGGTGGAATTCCCCTTTAAAAAGGACAACACAAGGGTACTGTAGTGTTCACCAAAATTGTTACCCATCAATTACTTCTCTCTCTCTCTATTTTTCAGATGAGGAGACACTTAAACTGATGCAGACTCCGCGCTGTTCGCTTCCAGATGAGGAAGGTAGTCACATCAGTCCCCTCTCAGCTGTAGACACTAAGGCACATTCTCAAAGGATGAAAAGGGCAGTATCAGCCTGGACTCGACGAAACATCAACTGGAGGTTTGATGCTGCTCTTTTATCTTCATTTTGAATATAACAGCCAAAAAGATTTAGGCCAAACTATCACTTTAGGCCAAACTGTTGCTTTAGGCCAAATTATTACTTTAAACCAATCTGTTGCATTAGACTACATGAGTCAGGCTCCAGTCCTTGTGGGCCAAAACACTGCAGACTTCAGCACACTGCCTCATTAAACACACCTGATTCAGCTCATCAGCTAATTTGCAAGGCCTTCAGGAGCTGAATTCAGAGCATTAGATGAGGGTAGACACTAATTTCTGCAGCACTTTGGCCCGGAAGGTCCCCAGTTTGACATGCCTGCTTTAGGCCAAACTGTTGCTTAAGGCCAAACTGTCGCCTTAGCTCAAAATATCGCCTTAAGCCGAACTATCATTTTAGGCCAAACCATTTCTTTAGGCCAAACTATCGCTTTAGGCCACCTGTTACTTTAGGCCAAACTGGAGTCTATCGGTTAAATTTAAAAGATCAAAACCAAATATCCATGATGCATTTCATATATTCATTCCTCTCTTCTATTTGATTCTCTCTTTTTCTCTCTAAGGTTACACTCATACCCCACTTCCTCCTCTCTGTCGCGTGAGATGATTCGCTCATTGGTCTTCTACGCTCTCAGAGTGTGGGCAGAGCCAACGCCTCTTGAGTTCCATGAGGTCAGCTATTATTTCACCATGCACAGCTTTCAGTCTGAAATGGTGGTATTAATATTACTAATAGCAGATTTGGGCATTTGGCCAGATTTGGGCATTTCAAAATTCAGCCCAGATCTTCTGGTCAAGGCCTGATGTCACAATCTGTTCTGAAACCAAATAGGTCGGAGGACCAGAGGGGGCAGATCTCCAAATTGATTTCTTGCATGGTTCCCATGGTGATGGATACCCCTTTGATGGAGTGGGTGGAGCTGTTGGCCACGCCTTCTTCCCCTCTGACCCTGACAGGGCAGGTGGAGTTCACCTGGATGCGGAGGAGGAGTGGGCATTCAGACAGCCAGGTGAATCACAGACTTGAGTTGCTCTGAGTGTATTAATATGATGTGAAATAAATTAACCCTTTCAGTTTTTAGATTTATCATTCAGTTTAAAGGAACACTTTACCTTCTAATCACAAGTAGACTACAATGTTAGGCACATAATGATTGGTGAAGAAGGTGGGTCTAGACCTGCCAGCTGGTCTTTAGAGTTTAAAGAGTTAATAAAATCCAGATTAACTGTGCAGATATTAAAAAGCTTTCTTTTGTCTGCTAGCAGCCTCTGAAGGCACAGATTTGTTCACGGTGTTGGTGCATGAGCTCGGCCACGCCCTCGGACTCCCCCACTCATCTACACGGCGCTCTGTGATGCGTCCATATTACCAGGGGCCCCTGGGGGACCCGCTCCATTTCAGCCTGGGGCCTCCAGACCGAGAACACATCATTGCACTCTATGGTACTTAATTCTTCTGAAGCATCTATTCAATGCAAACCTAGTAACTCTGTGTTAATGAAATGAATTTAATTGAGGCAACAAGCACTCATTTGTAAGTGACAGCTCTACTGTCATTATAACATATAAATCATTTTAGGCCAAGCTATCATTTTAGGCCAAACTGCCACTTTAGGCCAAACTGTTGCTTTAGGCCAAACTGTTGCTTTAGACCAAACTGTCATATTAGGCCAAACTGTTGCTTTAGGCCAAACTGCCACTTTAGGCCAAACTATGGCTTTAGACCAAAGTGTCATATTGGGCCAAACTGCCACTTTAGGCCAAACTGTTGCTTTAGACCAAACTGCCGCTTTAGGCCAAACTATTGCTTCAGGCCAAACTGTTGCTTTAGGCCAAACTGCCACTTTAGGCCAAACTATGGCTTTAGACCAAACTGTCATATTAGGCCAAACTGCCACTTTAGGCCAAACTGTTGCTTTAGACCAAACTGCCGCTTTAGGCCAAACTATTGCTTCAGGCCAAACTGTTGCTTTAGGCCAAACTGCCACTTTAGGCCAAACTGTTGCTTTAGACCAAACTGCCGCTTTAGGCCAAACTATTACTTTAGGCCGAACTGTTGGCCAAACTGCTATTTTAGGCCAAACTGTTGCTTTAGACCAAACTATTACTTTAGGTTAAACTGTTGCTTTGGGCCAGGGGTGCCCAGTCTTATCTGCAAAGGGCTGATATAGCTGCAGGTTTTAAATGGAGTAATGTTAGTCAGTTAACATAATGTTGCTTAATGCTCACAGCTGCAAAAAACAAAATAGTTAACCAGCAAATATTAACCCATGTAATACCACCTCATATCAGAGCCCCTCATAAGCCGCGGTCACACCAAATGCGAGTAAAATCTGCCTGCCGAAAAAGCCAGTTCATTTAAACAGTAGAGGATGAGAGAATTCAAAAAAGGAATTTGTTTCTGGTAGCATTAAATTTCACTTAGTGCTGAGTTCATCTAGGCAAACTGTAGCCCCCCAAATTTTGTGAACCTCAGAGGTGTCGGCCAATTGGAAACAAAAGGGAGAGCTGTGGCGTATTTATCTGATCCTCAGTTAATATATAGTCACTTGCCTCTCACAGTTGCAAAAGAAAAATTAGTTAAACAGCTAACAGTACTCGCTTACTGAACTATTCGCTCCATCCTATCATATCAGGACCTCTCTTACTCCCCTGACTATCACTTTAGGCCAAACTGCCTCTTAGGCGATGCTGTTACATCAGGCCAAAATATGGCTTTAGACCAAACTATCACTTTAAAAACTGTTGCCTTAGACTGTCATCTTTTTACACCCTCCAAAATATTGTTTTACATATCATACATCATATCAAATGTGTGTGTGTGTTGGTGTCAAGGAAAAAGAAATGAGCTTCTCCAGACAGACAGTCCTCCTCTAGAGACAGAAGTTCAACTGAAACGTCAGCATGGAGGCACACCGAGACTCACACACATGCACAGACACACACACAGCCACCTGGACAGGTAAGATGAGGATCCTTGCAGTGTAATGATAAAAGCCCGGTCTATATATATATATGTGTGTGTGTGTGTGTGTATAAATTATGATGCAAAGATTATGAAAATAGTGTATGTTATTTATATATATATATATATATATATATATATATATATATATATGTACATATACATATATGAAGTTGATGTTATTATAAAGTTATATGATATGGTTTTTTTCTCTCTGAATGAAGTCAGTCTTTGGATCGTTGCAACACCAGCTTTGATGCAGTTGCTAAAATTCGAGGAGAGACTTTTTTCTTCAAAGGTAAAGTTAAGTCATTGTGTGGCCAGTTGGGCGTGGTTATGAGAATGATTTGAGCACGATTCACTTTCCCTGCTAAAGAAAACAAATACCTTTCTTGCCTTAGCAGTTGTCTCAACTCTTATGTAACTTTTAATCTGTTCATCCAACCATCCATCCAAAAAAGCTAGAATACTATGTGAACCCATAGTAAAAACAGAAAGCTCCAGTTATACAAGTTCACAGCTGTGCAGCCATGTGTAGCCTTCATTGTTGTGCTTTGCACTTCATAATGCGCCACACGTTTTCAGCAGGAGACAGGCAGACCAGTCTAGCACCCTGATACTCTGACTACAGAGCCACGCTGTCGTAACATGCAGAATGTGGTGGTGTTGCCATGTGTAAATAAGCATAGACATTCCTGAAAAGAACGTCATCTAGATGACAGCATGTGTTGCTCCAAAATGTGTTTCTTTCAGCATTAATGGTACCTTCACAATTAACCATGCCATGGACACTAATAAACCCCCATACCATGATTGGCTTTTGAGCTTTTTGTTAGTAACAATCTAGATAGCTCTTTTCTTCTTTGGCTCAGAGAACACGGCCTTCATTCTTTCCATAAACAATCTGAAAAGTTGATTTATCAAACCACAATACACGTTTCCACTGTGCATCAGTTCATTTCAGATGAGCTTGAATAAGAGAGGTTATTGCCATTTCTGGCCATATTTGACATATTAGTATCAACTAATTACAACGTATCACATATAAATATATTACAACATACTCTATTTAAATAGAATTTACAATGTATTCTACAGTTTTGGACAAAACTGTTATGATCATATAGAATATTAATATGACTTTCATTTAGTTCTCTTTCTCTCTCTCTCTCTCTCTCTCTCTCTCTCTCTCTCTCTCTCTCTCTCTCTCTCTGTTCAACAGGTATGAGTATGTGGAGGGTGAATAGAGGGGGTCTAGTCTCAGGCAGAGCTGTGTCTGTACGCAGACTCTGGGGGGCTCTTCCCTCCTCCATGCCCCCGCTGCGTGCCGTCCTGGAGAGGCATGAGGATCACGGCATCATCTTTGTTAGTGGTCAGTCTCTCAGAGCATCCTTGTCCTCTAATGACCTGACTGCATTACATCTTACTCGAAATCAGGAATCAGAAAAATTTTAAATTGGATCAGAAGCAGAAAATTCACAGTAATATGATTTAACTAGTTAAATTAAAGGAATTGTCATGACAAATTGGTGGGAATGCTTAAAAAGTAACATATGGGAACCTCTACTTTAATAAGCAAAAACATTAAAAATTAAATTAAAATGTATATAAAAAATAAGTGTTCTCTTACATTTTTCTTTTTCTATTTTATCTTGTTAAATTACATTTTAATGTTGTTTTTGTCTTGCACTTTGACATTTATAGCATGAGAAATGCTTCTTCTTAAGGTGCAAACTGGGTCTAGAGTCTGTTGTTTTCCAATAACGTTATTTATTCAAATGGGAACGATACATTTTTTAGCTCAAAATCAGGAAAGGCATCTTTCCCTCTTATGCAGTGCTGCTGTGTGCTTGCAGGCTCTCAGTTCTGGCTGTTTAAGGACCTCACTCTCCAGGACGGTTTCCCTCAGCCTCTGTCTGCTCTGGCTCCTGAGGGATCGGACAGGATGTGGCAGGGCTTGCACTGGGACCCTGAGGAGGGAGTGGTCTGGGGGTCTCGGAGGCAAGGACTGGAAGAAGAAAGCAAGGTTTGGACGGAGCTCATTGAAGGAGGAGTGAATGGAATTATTACGGAGAACGACGGTGAGGGGGGAGAAAATGTTATATGCTGTGCATTTGTTTTTTTGTTGAAAAGTATTTAAAATATTAATAATTTCAAAGTAATATCAATAATAACATGTTCTACACTACGTGTCCAGACACCCCTTCTAAATGGTGAATTCGGCTACTTTAATATGCACCTATTGCTGAAACGTGTTCAGTTGAGCTTGTATAATCTCAATACAAAGACATTGACTAATAGAATGAGGAGCTCTGGAGCAGCTGCACATGAGCCTATGGTCGTCATGCTCAATGTCAAGTGTCAGCTAGAGGAGTATGAAGCCCCCAGCACCGGGCTGTGGAGCAGTGGAACTGCGTTCTCTGGAATGATAGAGCTCCATCCAATATTTTTGGGATGAGTTGGAGTGATCATCCAACATCAGTACCTGACCTCACTAATCGCTCTTGTACCTGGATACAATCAAATCCTCACAGTAATGTTCCAACATCCAATATAAAGCCTTCCCAGAAGAGTAGAGGCTATTACTGCAGCAAAGGGGGACAAACTCCCTAGTAATACCCTATACTTGCTGTCTATATGCTTTGGACATATAGTGTAGTGTTGTCTTATATGAGTTTATGTATGGTCTCCTTTTGTTCATCAGGTTCCATCTACCTGTTCAAGGACTATTCCTATTGGAAGTTTTCCCACCCAGGCTCCGTTCTCGAGGAGGGATACCCTCGGCCACTGGCCACAGATTGGCTGGACTGCCCTCTTCCATCCCTGTATCACCCCAACGATATCTCTCTGACCTCCGCTATTGGTCAGCAGGAGCAACAAGGGAGGAAATCACAAGGGACAGTAGACCAGATCAGACACAAAGAGAGAGACCCCAAGCCTCACTGGGACTGCCCCTGCCTCAACAGAGCAGCTCAGGCCAACAAGGAACCTCATTTACTGCTGCTCACTCTACTCTTACCCACTCTAACTTACCAAGGCTCCCTGTTGCTTTTCAACTCATGGCCAAACCCTCTACAGCTATAGATATTTTTACCTCTGACAAATGCAGTCACCAAAAAAACATCATCTACCTGCTTATTTATTATGGAGTGCTAACTAACTGAAACATGAATCCAAAATTGAAAGAGATTGGCAAGAAATAACATCTTCTTCTTACCTACACCAAATGTAGTTGTTCAGCCCAGTTGCGTTTAACATTCACTCCCTTATTTTTGCACTGGAGCTAACACTGCTAACAAGTAAGGAACGCTTTAACCCCACCAATTAGCACTGAGCATACTGCAAGCCTAAGTCATCACACATTTGCCTCACAAGATGTTTAGTCATGTAATAATATTTGTACATAAACTGTTTAGAAATTAGTACAATAAAAAAGTATTGACTGGCCGTTTTGTGTTGTGAGAAGTTCAAAAACCCAAATTTTGACAAATGGAGGGTTATATTTATTATTTAACACAAGAAAAAGCAAGGGATGGTGAATCCTTGTCGTCAAAGAAGGGAAAACATGAAGAAGCAAAACAAAATAGGGACAGGAGATGGCAGAAAACCTCATGCCCGTCATAGGTTCTACTGCACACTTGGAAAGGGAGGGGTGATGGAGTAGTATTCAGTTGGTTGCAGTCTACAACCTCACCACTAGATGCCACTAAATCTTACATCATATACTCTGCTCTATTAAGAGGTTGCAAATAGTCTTATCTGAAGACTGGAATGAAAAATGAAAATTAATAGAAATGAAAATGAGCTTCTTGTCTCATATAAATTGCACTGTATACTACATAATATTTCAAATTAGTCAATATAAACTGTACATTAAACACATGGAAAACACCCTCACAACCTGATCCAGGAATAAGGCTGATTGATCTTGTCTATACAGTATAGAGTGTTCTTTGACCACACATAATGCTGCACAGGCCATAGTAACACAGTAAACAATCATTAATGATTGATAAGAGTTAATGATTTATACTGTCTTTGTCATCACTTGAATCACTTTCATAAAGAATGCAGTATATGAATTATACTTAAACTTATATATAGCAAATGTAAATTATAGTAACACTTTAATTATTTAAGAATCAAAAGGATTGATGCTTCCTCATGACATTCAATCAAGCTTCAATCATGTACCCTTTGTAAACTCACTGAATAAATACAGTCGAGTGAAAGTTATGGTATTCAACTTGGACTTAAAGTGGAGTAAAATTGCAAAGGGTTAAACAGAAAAGTACAAATACAGTAGTTAAGTACAGTAAAGCACTACTCAGCTTCTCTCTGCTCCTGGTCTGGACAGTATGCTGGCCCTGACTGACTGAATTGAGAACAGTACTCTTACCTACAACTGAGGAATCAGAGGAGCATCTATAACATCTTAACTGCAGCCCACATTTAAAGAGAGCAGATTTCAGACTGTCAGTCTTTTTTCTTGATATTATGACTGAGTATGTCAAAATAATGGTTTATGTTAAAATAATGGATTAGGTTCTCAAAATTATGAAATGATGTCTAAAATAATGGTTTATGTTCTCAAGATTATGACTGATTTTGTCAAAATAATGGTTGGTTTTCGAGATTTCAACGTCAAAATAATGGTTTACGTTCTCAAAATTATAAGATTATGTTGCAACAATGGTTTATGTTCTCGAGATTATGACTAATTTTGTCAAAATAATAGTTGGTTTTTGAGATGTTGACATCAAAATAATGGTTTGGGTTTTCCAAATTATGAAATGATGTCTAAAATAATGGTTTATGTTCTCAAGATTATGACTGATTTTGTCAAAAATAATGTTTAATGTTCTCAGAATTATGAGATTATGTCGCAACAATGGTTTATGTTCTCAAGACAATGATTTTGTTGAAATGGTTTATGTTCTTGTAATGATGACATTATGTCAAACTAATAGTTTATGATGTTAAGATTACAACCAAATATGTGAAATAATGGTTTATGTCCTCGAGATTATGATTGTTATGTCAAAATAATGGATTGTTATCTTGAAATTATGACTGATTATGTTGAAGTTATGGCTTATTTGCAGCAGAACACTTCCACATTGTTAAATGCAATAAATGTAGTAGCATTACACCCCTGACTCATTAAACACATGCCTGTCTGAATGATTATAGCTGACTAATATTTGGTAGTTAACATATTTGAGCATCAGATAATGCCCTCATCAACCCCCCCAAACACCCCCCCTTTAAAAACTGCTCCTCGTCTTTTACTCAAACTCAGGTGCTGATGGTGTACATAACTGTATTCTGTTATAGAAAAAAGCAGTAATTACAGGTACATTATAAAAATTAAGAATTATTAAAAGTTGTCAATAATTAATAGGTTCCACTTTAGTTATAGCCTTGCAAATGCATTAATAAAGATCTTAGAAATATATTTTGTCATTTGCACACTAAGCTCATAAATATGAGTTCTGATTAACAGGACAATATAACACATTTATAACCCACTATATTATGTACGAGTACACTTGCAAATTAAACATGACCACATTTGATCACCTATTCATATTCCTTGATTAAGATGCATATATTTAACTCAATAATTAACAGTTAATTTATAGAAGACCTTATTAACACATCTTATAAATATATTTATAGCTCATTTCTAAGCTTGCTTACAAATGGTATGTTTCTATTTATTAGTGCATTATTAATTGCTTGGTAACAGTTTAGTAATTGTTAAGAAATTGACCTTAAAATATAAGTGTTACTGAAGTTGGGCATCCAATAATTTCCAGAATCCCAATTCTACAAAATCCCAACATTCCAGCAGAGTTCAATGTGCCAACATTGGTGCTGTTGTTTAAACAGTATAAAGTGCAGATGTCCTGCATGCAGGTTAGCAGAACAATCTGAGGAGGTTGGCAGAAGTATCTAAAGAGCTTCGGCCACCATGACCATTCTGATCAGCTCCGTTCTGGGTTTTCTCGTCCTGCTGGCCACCAGCCAGGCCGCTGACCCAAACTGTGAGGACCTCACAAAGCCGCTGGTGCTGGAGGACGACTACAGTTCAGTAAGTCTGCTCTGTGGCTTTAATAGACTATGCTAGACACATCTTTATTAGGAAGCAATTAAAGAGTTAATCAGTATGCCTGTGTATTTTTCTCATGATCACAGGATGACAGACAACTCTTAAAAAAAAAAAAGTTGAGGAAACTAATGTTTTCTGGCTCACAAACCTTCCCAAAGTGACCAGCACTGTGTATGGGAAGAGCACCGACCAGCCATAACATTAAAACCTCCTTGTATCTACACTCACTGTCCATTTTATCAGCTCCACTGACCATATAGGACCACTTTGTAGTTCTATGATTACAGACTGTAGTCCATCTGTTTCTCTGCATACTTTGTTAGCCCCCTTTCACCCTGTTCTTCAATGGTCAAGACCACCACAGAGCAGGTATTATCTGGGTAGTGGATCATTCTCAGCACTGCAGTGACGCGGACCTGGTCGTGGCGTGTTAGTGTGTGTTGCGCTGGTATGAGTGGATCAGACACAGCAGTGCTGCTAGTGTGTAAGGATTTCATTCTCAGTTGGGCACCATCCAAATCTTCATGTTCCTATGTTGTATTTTAGATCATGGGGAAGTGGATCTTCACTGAAGGAATCTCTGATGATCCTTTGTTCAAAAACTTATTCCAAATGGTGAACAGCACTTGGATTACGATCTCCCCCAGTTCCTTAAAAGATACGTTCATTTTCAGCCAAGGGAAGCTGGCGTGAGTCTTTCTGTCACTCCTGTATCTGTCTTGCTTGTGCAGTACCTTACACTGTGCTGAGCCAGTATAGCCACTGAGTTTAGGCTGTGTCCTTTTCCCCCTCAGATATGGAACTTGTAAATACATTGACCTGAACACAACTTTCGAAAACAGCACCTTTTATTCTTCTGGTGAGTAGAAACAACATGTTTTTTGATTAGTCAGTCATAAAGTCACATGCAAAAGTTTGAACACTCCTGGAAAAATGGCATGTCAAATTTTCTAAGTGAAAAGAAGTTAAATCATACTCTACTGAAAGCACATTTAACTTTTATATGTCTGAATATATATTTAAAAGTAATGTATAATCATATATTTTTACTGCACATTTTCTATGTATTTGCTGAGTTAAACATTCGTAAAAAAAAAAAAATTAAAAGGCGCCATAACTTTTGCACAGACCATATTTATGTTTTATTTTTCCCCTAGTGTGTTTAATTCAGCAAACAAACAGTAATTGTGCATTGAAATGTGCAGAAGTTATTATTTATTATTTATATTTACTTATATTTGTTATTTATATATACTTACATTTATATATACTTATTATTTATTTAAGCAATAAACCACGGGAGGCAGTACATTACTGTGAATTTATCATGGATTATGATGTTCTTCACAACACAAAGTGGTGTAAAACCTCCATCCACGTGATAAAATCGCAGTAATGTAAGGCCATGAGTGGCTTATTGCTTTTATAAAACAGCAACGTAACATATGATAAAATACACAATTTTCAGTAAACAATTTATGTTACTATTAATAACAAGCCACATAAACATACATTCTGTCAGAAAAATGTAGCTACTTTAGCAAACGATATCATTGCCAAGTGACCATAGACTGCTGAGTGATGGACAAAACATTAGGTCGCACGTCCCTGTATATTGCAGTCATTTCATGAACTTAAATACTGGCTCTTGCACCCCAACAGTGCATATCATCAGTATACTCGGTGGTCCATGCGAGCAGCATCAGAGTCAAAGATTATTCCATTAACAGCACAAGGAGTCTTTGTGTCCTGGTGCAGGAATACAGGGTTCAGTCGTTGTGAGGTGATCATAGATGTGCTAAATTGAGTATTTCACAAGGGCTTCGAACTCAGCTCAGCCAATCAGATTTTAGGACCAGGATTAACCCATTTATAATTTCACTTAGAAAATCAACAAAGCATATCATTTGACCTGGGACACAAAAAACTTTGCATCCTTTGTGGCTTGGATGTCCTATATTTTCCCTGATCCATGTCCCAAAAAAAGTTCTCTTTATTTGTTTGCTCCTGCCCCATCCATCCTCAGCTCTGTTTATTGAATAAACCCGTTATGGCAAAAAATATCGTATTACGATACAATATTTCGAAGACATAACATCACATTTTTAAAGTGTTGTCAAAAACTACAATATTTTTGTTTAATCGTTTATGTACTGTGCATTACTACATCCATTTAAGCAGGGTGAATTATGCTCTCATTGACTCAAGCAAACATCTGGATTCAAATTTATGATTTCTCAACAATAGATCAAATTTTTAAACAGCTTTACCACTTCAGAGCCCCTAAATCTCTTTATAATAAACCACACAGTTTGTTAGTGTGTTTCATGTACTGATGATTCACGATTTGTGCAGAAAAGCATATTTCGATGTAATTTATGATGATAACATTATCGTTATATCATCCAGCTCACACCAGGAATCAAGCTTTTTCTGCAAATATACATTTCAGTGCTGCTTTATTATAAGCTAAATAAAGCCACCAAGTTGTATCTACATGTTTTGTTATCCTTTATTTCATGTGATATGATGTCATTTGAGTCTTCTCAGACTTCTCTTTATCCAAGCTGTTCTGTCTGTTCACAGATAACGAGATCACAGTAAAGGGCGATTTACTGGCATGTTCTTCTGGCTGCTTCACCCTAAGCTTAACCAGACAGATGAGAAATGAGACCTCCAGCGCCTTCTACCTGTTCAGTAAGTCACTCTTGTCACGCTGTTTTAACTATTGGTCAGCTATTCAGGAGTGTTTACATGCACACAACAGCCAAGCTAAGATCTTAGTTAGTCTGAGAAACTGGATCAAACTAGGACGTTTACATTAGTTGTGTAAAAGTTGTGTTAGTTGTGTTCTGTTTACATGCACACCAGCAGTGGTGGACGAAGTACACAAATCATGTACTTGAGTTAAAGTAGAGATACCCAAGGTAAAATATTACTCCAGTGAAAGTAGAAGTTCCTCCCTTTAGACCTCCACTTGAGTAACAGAACAAAAGTATTTGCCTTCAAATGTACTTAAGTATCAAAAGTAAAAATACTAAAAGATTAATTATGACTCTAATGTCCTATTATCATTTTTGTAACAAGACTCTTGCTTTATCAACTCATTTCAGGTGAAAATACTCCAGTGTCACTCTTGGTAAACCGATCTTTTAATAGAATGTGATTAATTAGTCTGATGCTGATGTCTATTAAAACTATCATAAGCACAAGACACTGAAGGCCAACAATTTCCATTAGGTAGAACTGAGTGGCTCTGAAATAAACTTTTACAAACAAGCAAAGTTTCAGTTTAAGATTTATTTGCAACTTAGTTACAAGTTTGAGTTTAATAAAAACTTGCTTTAAGGTTCACAAATGAGTTTTCTTTACTAAACTGCATCTGTAGGTCTCTGTTCATAAACATAAACTAGCAAAAACAAACTTACTATAAAATGAAATGTTTGTATAAATTCAGAAAAAGACACGTCAATCACAACTGCATATGTGAACATATTTCAATATTGTGGTCTATTTACACAAAGTTTGGTTAGTTCCGTCATTTATGTTGGAATAGACACTGTGGAATAGACACTCTGGATTAGACACGCTGCTGCACTGACGTTGAACCGTATGCTTGCACTGGGTCGGTATGTCCAACAAACAAGCTCAAAACAAACTGCGCGCTATACCCTGATTGGTGTTCTTGCTTCACGCTTCTTTCATTTTGACGTTACGTTTTTATGCACACATAAGCCAAAAGAAATGACAGATTTTGCATAATGTAGTGGAGTAAAAAATAATTTTGGGGGTCACCTGCCCTGCTGAGGGGCATTTCAGTCATTACCTGTCAGCTCGAGGGATCGAACCAGCAACCTTCCGGTTGCGATGCCCTTATGTGAATTGTGAAGTTGTGCCTGTGTTCATTTGCATGGAAGTTCTTTGTAGATAACCTGCTAAACTGGCCGCCCCCACCAGCACAAGGTGTCGGGAGAACTGTTGATATCGACATCTCTCTTAGTACATCTGCCCCCAGTTGTGTCCCATTTCTCAAAAGTGCAAATCCACCAAACACACTTTATCACAGCAGTATTGGACTAAGGCCCAGTTTCAGTCATTTTTTTTTACATGCCTTTTCACATACATTACACAGTCGGCCGCAGAAGGGGAGGAGTGCATTATCCAAACAGAATGAACTGACCTTCTGCTAGGTTAGCCTCAGTGAGCAAACTTTGCAGTGCAAAATGTTTTTTTCTGAGAACACCGAACATAACTTATATAATAATTAGAATAATTGGTTTATCTGACTACAAACGTAGAGTAGAACCATGGAGTAATGCCTTTCTTTTTGTTGTTGTTAGCCATGTAGACTTTAGTATGCTAAATAGCCAGCTAGCAAAGCAAAAGGATGAAGTTAAATCAGCAGTCATGTATAAGTGATGAAGCAGTGGGCAACCTAAAGCCCGGAACATCTAATGTTATACTTTTGAAATGATAAGCATTTTACAGTAATGTACTACTATGGCTTATAAACAGCTTTATCCACCATTTTTGGGTTTGGAAAGGGAAATGTGTCAGTTTCCAATGATTTCTGGGCAAGTTCTGCTGCTAAAGCCGACACTTGTGTGTACTTGAAAATTTGTGGAGCCTTCAGAATTTTCTATATTTCTGCATAAATTTGACCTCAAACTTCATTAGATTTTCCCACAAGCCCTAATAGTAGATAAAGAGAACCAAATTAAGCAAATGAGACAAAAATATTAGACTTGGTCATTTAATTATTGAGGAAAATGATCCAATATTACAGATCTGTGAGAGGCAAAAGTGTTTGAAACTTTAGGATTAGCAGATCATTTGAAGGTGAAATTAGAGTCAGATGTTTTCAATGAGTGGGATTATAATCAGGTGTGAGTGACTACCCTGTTTTATTTGAAGAACAGGGATCTATCATAGTCTGATCTCCACATCACGTTTCTGAGGAACTCAGAAGAAGAATTGTTGATGCTCATCAGGCTGGAAAAGGTTTCAAAACCATCACTAAAGAGTTTGGACTCCACCATCCACAGTCTTTCAGACTGTGTACAAATGGAGGGAATTTAAGACCACTAACCACGCTCTGCAGGAGTGGTCGACCAACAAAGATCACACCAAGAGCAAGGAGTGTAATAGTCTGCAAGGTCACAAAAGAACCCAGGGTAACTTCTAAGCAACTAAAGGCCCGTCTTACAGTGGATAGTGTTAATGTTCATGAGTCCACCATCAGGAGAACACTGAGCAACAATGGTGTGCAGGGCAGGGTTGCGAGGAGAATGCCGCACCAACATAACAGAGTTGAAGCTGTTTTGTATGGAGGAATTGGCTAAAATTCCACCAAGCTGTGGAGGACTAATCAACAGTTACCAGAAACGTTTAGTAGCAGTTATTGCTGCACAAGCGGGTCACACCACATACTGAAAGCAAAGGTTCACATACTTTTGCCACTGACAGATATGTAGTATTACAGTAAGTAAATGACCAGGTCTAATATTTTTGTCTCATTTGTTTAATGTGGTTCTATTTATTTATTATTAGGATTTGTGTGAAATCTGATGAAGTTTTAGGTGAAATTTATGCAGAAATATAGAAAATTCTGAAAGGTTCACAAACTTTCAAGCACCACTGTACACAATGCTTCACAAAGCTCATCTAACACTCTTCACTTGAGCTAATACGGTGATGGAATGGCCCTTAAGATGGCGTCAGGTATTCCTCCAGAGGGAAATAGCAAAGGCCAAGAGGACTAGGGCTTGTTAAGACAGTATTAATACAGGTGATATGTATATATCTCACTGTCTCAGCCTCAGATGCTCCTCCCACACATGGACCATTCATGTGCATGTAAAAACAGTTACTGACCAAGCTCTAAGCAAAAGATACAGCTTAAAGAATAGACAAATAATCCTCAGGGAATCATGCAGCGGCTCTCAGGTGTGGTGTCCAGGATCTGTTGAATCAGTGCAACGGGGTACATGAAACTTCATCAGTGTATTACAACGGAAACACTACAGTGATACAAAATGTGAATTCTATGAATGAGATACAATGCTGTACTACAAGATTATGTATAATACACAAGATTATGATGTAACAGAATACAAGTATTTGAAATATGTATTCACAATACAGACTTGAAGTATCTGTATTCAGTCCTGGTTGCATTTATTTTAGGCAGTATTCAGAATACAGTTACCTTTTACATTTTTAGGAGAATACTTTCAAAATACTTACTAAAAAGCAATTTTCAAAAGCAACACTATCAACAAATGTTTATTAATTATTTTAGAATTAGTGCAAGGCATGTAATACAAATGCTCTGTAGAACAGATGTCAGTGAACAGCTTCTTCACACTGAGGTTCCTACTAAAGCCTGAGTAGACTGATAAATCAAGGTGATGAGCCAGTTATTAATCTCAGCATTAAAGAGCTCTGTTGAAACTCATAATCTCCTCAGCAGTGGACATGCTTGTGAGTGCTGAGTTTGGCATGAGTTGTGTACTGGACTCATGCTCAGAGGATTGTGGGAGCAGCAGTGGGCTAAAACAGGTGGACAAAAGTTACAGACTTTTAGAAGTTTATTTAAAAAATTAACAGAACAGCCCTGCGATGGCCTGGTGACCTGTCCAGGGTGTATCCTGCCTTCCACCCAATGACAGCTGGGATAGGCTCCAGCACACCCCCCCACACACAACCCAGCAGGATACGCGGTTTACATGATGTGTGTGTGTGTGTGTGTGTTAACGGAATAATTGCATGAAGAAAACCAGTAACAGCAAAGAACAGTGTGAATTAAAATTCCCAAGATGTATTGTTAATGTATTCTACACACATTCTGAATACATTGCTTTTTTATGTATCATAATAGAATATGGTATTCAGCTGTCACTACTTTTTCAAAGTAATTTGCCCAACCCTGTACATAACAGGAAAACATGTAAAATGCTAGCTGTATGCCGGAGGGCTCCTTTAACTCCCTAACTAAAACAAATATATGCTCTGATATACTCTAATAAATAAAGTTGTAGAAAAAAACAGAACAACTAATTTGGCATCTAACTAGAGTACATTTAGTTATGAATCAAAGTGGATTTAATGATATAGTTTAATTTACTATGTTAGTTAACATGACGTATACTGATCTATATGTGATATTACAGCAAGAGGACCCAGAGCATCCGAGTCTGAGATGGATCTGTTCTGGAAACAAGCTCAGTGTCTCGGCTTCAAAAAAGAACGTGTGTTCTCCTACGATGGTGTAACAGGTCAGTATGGACTGAGATTAAAGTAACAAAAACAGGCCATTTATTTCTAAAGGATAGAGAACTTTTTGAATGAGGCACATCACAGGGCAGCCAGTCAGAAAAGGGCTTATTTACATCCACTTCATTAAAACCACCTCCTTGTTTCTATATTCACTGTCCATTTTATCAGTTCCACTGAATATAGAGCACTTTGTAGTTCTACGATTACAGACTGTAGTCCATTTGTTTCTCTGCATACTTTGTTAGTCCCCTTTTACCCTGTTCTTCAGTGATCAGGACCACCACAGGACCCTCACAGAGCAGGTATTATTTGGGTGGTGGATCATTCTCAGCACTGCAGTAACACTGACGTGGCGGTGGTGTGTTAGTGTGTGTTGTGCTGGTCTGAGTGGATCAGACACAGCAGTGCTGCTGGAGTTTTTAAACACTGTGTCCACTCACTGTCCACTCTATTAGACACTCCTACCTTGTTCGTCCACCTTGAATATGTAAAGTCAGAGACGATAGCGCAACTGTTCCTGTACAGTTTGTGTGGGTCATCCTCTAGTCCTTCATCAGTGGTCACAGGACGCTGCCCACAGGACGCTGTTGGCTGGATATTTTTGGTTGGTGGACTATTCTTAGTCCAGCAGTGACACTGAGGTGTTTAAAAACTCCAGCAGCTTTGCTGTGTCTGATTCACTCATACCTGTGAACTTAATGAAGTGGCTGATCAGAGTATGTCAGTCAGAGTATTAAAGACAAGGTAACTAAAACAACGTGTTTAATTTGAAGGAATAAAGAAAGGTTGGAAAATGATCATGTAAAAATGAGTTATGAACCTACAAATTAGAGTGACTTAATGTCAAATCAAATTGGAAATTAAAAACATTACACTGTTATTTTAGTGAAAAGGACCATTTTGGAGTTCATTTTAGTTTCAAGTGCTTTTATGCTGCTTTACATCTCGTATTGAAATAGAAAACATGATTAATGGTAAAGTATTTCATATGCTGCTCACTTTTTCCTCTCTTTTCAGAATTGTGTCCAATGGATCCGAGTTTATTTGAGCAGCAGAGTGAACCTGAGGAGGAATGAAAATTTTACCTCATTCTTAGAGTGATTTTTTGTGCCTGTTGAAATGGAAAAATAAAATGTGGCCCTGCTGAGTCAGATTGTCCTTTGACCAAATGTATCGCAGCAAATTCTATATTTGATTTATTTTTCCAATATTTTAAACTCTTTTGCATATGACTGTACATACTTTTGGAAATATTTGACACCCTTAAAAAGTGTTTCTTCAAGGGGTTATTTAGTAAAGACAATGGTTATATATAGAATTGTGGCAACTTGTTCAAACTGTGATAAATGGTTATTTGCATAGTTAAAGGTGCAGTGTGTAAGATTTATCTATTAGCAGAAATGGAATATAGTATAAAAAAACATGTTTTTATCATTGCATAATCACCTGTAACTATGAATTGTTGTGTCTTCATCACCTTAAAATAAGCCTTTCATATCTACATAGGTAGCTGGTCCTCTTCCAACAGAGGCCGTCATGTTGCAACACCATATTTATACAGTAGCCTAGAACAGACAAATCAAGCATTTGCAGCAGCTTGAATTTGGTGGCTGCCAGTGCTGGCCAACCATTTTGTGTTGTGAGAAGTTTGAGACCCCAAATATTTTGACAAATGGAGGATCTTACTTATTATTTAGCCCAAGAAAAAGCAAGGGAGAAGGAAATCCTCGTCAAAGAAGCTTCAAAGAAGCATAACATGATGGCCACCATATTGCTCCACCCACACCTCCCTTTCACTCACACCTTGAATTAACTCCATCCACAGCTCCGCTTAACTCCACTCACACCTCCAATTAACTCCACCTATACCTCAAATTAACTCCACCCCACCTCCAATTATTTCCAACCATACCTACAATTAACTTCACCCACACTACCCACGTTACTCCACCCATACCACCAATTAAATCCTTTCTCATTCCTGTTTAACCTCACCTACAACCCCTTTAACCCCACCCACGTCCCCACATAACACCCACAACCCTTTTAACTCTACCCACACCTCCACTTAACAGACATGGGTCAAACTCTCGCCCTCGCACTGTTCACTTTATCACAGCCTCTTTCTCTGGACCGTCCACATTTACCATCTACAGAGTTTATTTTCTCAGGTTTGCTCATATTTTTATACAATTTACTATGTGTCTCACGGTCAGTATGAGCAAAACGATAGGAAAAAGTCATTTACTCAAGGGCCTTAATCACTCATGCTCTCACTCATGCAATCATTTATAAAACTAAAATTAAACATAATAATATAAATTATATGTGTATTATATATGTTTTATTATATATATATATATATATATATATATATATATATATATATATATATATATATATATATATATATATAATTAAATATAAATATTTGTAATACTTTTATCATTGAGCACTATTGGAAAAAGGTCTTTACAGTCTGATTGGATCATAAACCCAAAATTTCTGCTTCTTGCTCTGATGAGTATGAAGTAGTGGCAACTAAAGCCAACTGATGATTGTCCCACAAGTGATCTTATGTGAAAGTTAGTCATGAAAAGGTGCCAAGATGTCCTTTTCCCCTGGGAAGAATTTGTTTAAGGTACACAGTTGGACTTTAAAACCACTGTGATAAATGGTTCTTTGCATAGTTAAAGGTGCAGTGTGTAAGATTTATCTATTAGCAGAAATGGAATATAGTATTAAAAAAACATGTTTTTATCATTGCATAATCACCTGTAACTATGAATTGTTGTGTCTTCATCACCTTAAAATGAGCCTTTCATATCTACATAGGTAGCTGGTCCTCTTTCAACAGAGGCCGTCATGTTGCACCACTGTAGTATCGTTGAGGGCACATGTTCGTGATCAAAAATGTACCTGCCCAGTACCTTTTTTTCTGACACTGTACTTAAAAGGGGTGGCACAGTGGCACAGTGGGATAGGCTCCAGCAGCCCCCGTGACCCAGGAGGATACGAAGTACAAGTTCATACATTTAACAGCGCATTAAAATGTGCAGTTTGTCACATGGTCATAACTATATAAGAAAAACTTATAGGGCTTCTATGTGTCCATGTTTATTCATAACCATACAAAATATTGTGGCGTTCTGCCACTGGCTGTGCTCCCATTGGAGCTTGCAAGCAGGCATGTAAAAAAGGCATAAGAAGAGGCTTATGAGAGGCAAAAGAGTCCAATTTGGCCCTTGGTGGTTGCAGCAGCCACCATAGTAACTCAGCTTTTTATGCGTTTTATGTGTGGGTTTGTGTTGGGGTATGGGTTTAGTTAAACCGGTTTGGTACTTACCACTGGTGGAAAGTATAGAGCCAAGAATGACCTGCCCTCGTTTCACTTATTTTGGATTGCCTCTTCTTCTGCTAGTTCTTAACAGAACAGCCTTTTAATAAGCAGAACATGGCTTCTCCTGATTTTTCCCTAATTCTTCCTCACTATATTTTCTCATTGGGAAAACGCTGGTTTAAAAATTCAGACACTTGAATATAAAAAAAAAGACTTTGCTACTTGCACTGGTGTGGAAAACAAGGCTGTTCTCTGTTTGTGCCACTAAGAGTATCATTTCTCTCCTCATGCATCGATTCACAACATTCTCTCACAGCCAGCCGGCGACGCCGATTCAACGTGATCGACCAAAACAGCGTTTACGAGGACCAAGTAGAGCCAACATGGCAGAACACACCACACAAACTACAGGCAATGGTCAGCCACCGACACTCACCAACGGCCTGGCTGCGTCCCACAGTCAACTATGTGTGTCAGGGCCCTGAATGTGCAACGGACAGATGGATGGATAGACAAAACCCTTCCTCCTCTCTTTCCAGAAATAAGACCAACTGAACTTGACATCTGTACTGATGCTGTTCTTTGACCACACGTAATGTAGCAACCACCATAGTAACTCAGTAAACAATCATTAATGATTGATGAGGGTTAATGATTTATACTGTGTGTTTGTCATCACTTGAATCATTTTCTAAAATGATGCAATGCATGAATTTTTACATTCTTCAATAACAAACATTGGCCTGTGTTACATGCTTAGCCCACACTGTGCTCTCCGTCTGATCTAACAGCAGTAAAGACCATCTTAGACCCCTGACAAGCTAAATCAAAAGCGCTTGATTGGGCTCTGAGCTAATTAGGGGTCAGCTCAAGCTATGAGTTTGAGGTAGTGTTAAAGATTTCACAGTTGATGATATTAGTGTATAAACAATAAACCAGGAAAATCCTTTAATACTTTTATTTACAGCTCCTTAAGTTCTACATACCTGGTTCTTCAATGGTTCTTCAAGGGTACTTTAGTACAGAAAATGGTTCTATGTAGAACCATGAACACTCAAAGAACCTTTTACATGACCAAAAGGTTCTTTGCATTGCGAAAGAGTTCTTCATATTGATGGAGAATGTGCAGTAGATGGTTCTATATTGAACCTTTTTGAAAAGGGTTCTACATGGCACCCAAACAGGTTCTTCTATTGTAACAGCCCTGACATCATAACAAACGAAGAACTACCCATCTACTGAACACTCTCCATCAATCTTCAGAACCATTTCACCATTCAAACAACTGTTTAATCATGGAAAAGGTTTGTTGAATGTTCATGGTTTTGTATAGAACCATTTTTTTTAACTAAATAATATTCTTTTCGGAGGAGAAAGACAGACTGAAAAAAACGCCAGCTGTAATTTACATTTACGACATTTAGCAGACGCTCTTATCCAGAGCGACTTACAATGTGATCATTTTACACAGGTAGGCGAAGGTAGTATTAGGAGTCTTGCCCAAGGACTCTTATTGGTATAATGTAGGGTGCTTACCCAGGCAGGGACTGAACCCTAGTCTACAGCGTAGAAGGCAGAGGTGTTACCCACTATACAACATCAACCACAGTAATTCGTGCTACTCAGCCCTTAGCAACAACACTAGCAATGTTAGCAAGTGTCTTGAACACCACAATTAACTCAGGCCTCATTTTCACTGCAGGGCCAAATGGTTCTGAGTACAGAGGGTGACCATTCCAGTAGTATTTTCACATTGACTCGACTCAACACGGAACGCTTAAAAATCAGAGTCAGCGCGTTTTTTCAACATGGTTAGCTTACTGTGTTGAGGGCCACAGAGCCGTTCAGTAGGCTGACACAGCTATGTAGCTATCTGCTGATCGGTTCTATGTTTATTGTGCCACCGTAGCAGTATATTAGTGTAAAGTTAAAGCTGGCGCTGAATGTGATTTGGCCATTTAAGATAAAACATGTCTACCATATAGACTTCACCTAAAATCCAGTGTACAACACATCTGCTGATTATAATGCCATTATTATGGCCATTATAATATCAGTGGGAAAAATATACAGTTATGTTTTTAACTGCCTGGTTTAGTCAGAAAGTAGAGGGGTTGGTGCTCTGAAATGATTAAAATGTATTCAGTTTTTGTAGAAAGGTGAGCTCTTATCAAATATAACAACTAATACACAAATCTTTCACTTCTGTAATCATCAGTATCAAAAATCAATTTCAAATAATGCATTTAAGTACAAAAATAAAGATGCCGGAAAGAGTTATTTGTAGGGATACTATAGAATAACTATTGTTGGTTTTCTAAGGAACCTTAAGTACATGGGTCTTTAAAGAAATCACCAGAACACACCGGAAACTTGAAGTAACCAATTAAAATGCTGGTTCAGCAAAAGACAAAAGCATCTGGTTTTAGATACGTTTTTAGCAATTAAAACTGCACAGTGTTTTTTTTTGTTTTTTTTGTTATTGTTAAAAAAAAAGTAGTGATGCTGAATCAGGAAAAAAAAAAATGCTAAAATATGGCACACTTGTGCTGCTGCGAGTCGCCCTGTAATGCCTGGGGTTAGATTGTATTTTGCAGAAGTTTTTCGAACTACGTCACATTAATGTCACATGGACAGGCTCAGAAAGAAGGTCCGGCTCGATGTTTAGGCCTCAAATGCAAAATCATTTTTATACTGATGGAAATATGATAACAATAGTAGATAATTCACTCACATCCGCGGAAGACATTTTCTTCACCAAGTTTTAACTAAGTTCTCTTTGAATACTCTTTCAACACGTTTGCAGTCAAC